CTCTCTCTCTCTCTCTCTCTCTCTCTCTCAATTCTGAACTACAATTGATTCATAATATAAGTGGTGAGAGATGTAGGAAAGGGATGGCTGACAGTGCAAGTGCTGAAAGATATCTGGGACTCAGTTTCACTTTTTGCTCATATCATACTGTATTTCAGAGAACTTACAGCAAAAACTACAAAATACTCACTGCTATTAGAAATATGAAGAATATTTTAATTAAGAGTTGAGAGAAATTATCGATGCGTTCAGTATTTCATAGGATCTGCTGATAAACACAGTCCTCATTTCAATAATTATATACTACTGTTGTAACAATAGTTGCAAAAAAATAGTTGACTTCAACTCAAACTTTTGAAAGGCTTTTGCAAAACTTCATAATTCTTGTGATAAAGAGACAGATGTTTGCGTTTCATTATAAAATTATATATAACTATACGGAGAATACTGTTATATTGTGTGATATATTGTGCATACAATGGTTTAACTTTATTATAGACTATTTTGTTAATAATAAATTGTGTATAAAAATATTTTTAAGTATAACTTTATACACATAAATATTGTTCACTTATTGTATTTCTATTGTATTTGTATATAAATTTAATCTCAATATACTTCACGTCAAAGCAGGAGAACTCGTTGAGAAAAGACAAGAATTTATTGCACTATAAGTTATGCCAATAATGTCAAGAATTTCATGATTTCCTTTTAAAAGAGGACTTAAATTAATTTTTATAATCAATAATAATTGTGAATAAATTGTGACACGAGTTTGGATATGTCTGTACAGTATATCGCCTTCAATGGGAGTAAAAGTTGAGAAAATTAACAACAAAACAAAATAACAGAATCGTTATTAAACGTAATAATAGTTGATTATTCTTAAGCGACTGATGAAAAAACTTACAACAAATGGATTGTGTATTAGAAGAGTATATTTTGTTGGCGTAAAAGTTAGCGTCAAATGTGTTGCCAATGAAAATGATGTGTTGTTTATTCTGGCAATAGTTATACTGATCTTTAGTTTTGCCTCAAAATGTTATTATAGTTTATATGCGAAGAGAGAAGAAGTGGTAGAATAGAGAGATATTCTAAACAATAAATTAGTCTCAAGTGTTCGCACAAAATATTATTGATGTTTTTTGATGCGTTTAGAGCTCCAGAATATTGTGTATATGTGTTGTGTTGTATGGGTTATAGTATTGGCGCCGAACAAAATATATACACACAACCCATCTATAAGTGATTCTCGGCCTCAGAATCGAGTTTAATGTTCGCTAAGGAAAGAGAGAATAAAATCATAAGCATTTTGTTAGTAAAAGTAGCGCAAGAAATATGAGTGTCGGCCCGGAATGGGGGCCTACAGTGTGCACAGAGTGGGAGCCCTGTATTACCAGCGCTGTATTGAACAGTGCCTTTGCCAGCGCTTTGGCAGCAGATGGACTTAAGAGTGAATATAATTCACTATAAAGAGTACATAAACTATTTGTCCGATGGCCTGCCCTTTCGCACCCCTCCTTATACTAAAGCTATACATGTTATGTAATATATCTATAATATAATATCGAGTTATAGTTTCGACTCAAACTTTCATAAAACTTTATATAACTGCTGCTATAATACACTGTTTTATATACAGTAATATATACGGGAAGTAATGTATTTGTACCGAAACACTCCTTCGCTATACTGTATAGTGAGATATAGTGCACACAATTTTATTTATTCTGCAATGTATTTATGGGGGGAAAAGCGCTTGTGTTGTGTTAACTCAATCTAAAAGCTCAAAATGTGATACAACAGTCACTACAAATAGCTGTATCTCATCCTCTCTGTAATAGTCTTATATAAAACTAAAAGATAAGGTTTTAATGTTTCTATAAAAACAGTAAAAATTGGTTAAAATGTAAAGAACGGCTCTTTCTATCGACTGTGTATTTCACCATTAAATTGGTCTCTATTTTATATTGTTATCTATTTTTCGCCACTATTTTTATTGATGGAAATAAGACATACTTTTTTGTGAGGAAATATTATTAGCTCAATGAGTGAAAAACTCGACAGTAAATGATAAACAAATTAATTAGTTATCATTTTTTCTCCATTTCCTATCAAACAGTGCATAGAATTTGAAAAATGCTAAAATAATAACGCATTGTACGATAAAATGACGTGAATATTGAGAGAGAGAGAGAGAGAGAGAATATGATTGCATAATTTCCCANGAGAGAGAGAGAGAGAGAGAGAGAGAGAGAGAGAGAGAGAGAGAGAGAGAGAGAGAATGAGAGAGAGAGAAGGATACAAACCTCTGTACATCATTGATCTCTCCATAGAGCACGACGTCGAGGAGGACTTCTTAGGCAACCGTTCCTTAAGCTCGACCTCCACTTCATTTGTTGGTTCCTGAAAATGATTGATTGTATTTTGATTAAGTCTTTATAATTAAGTATAATTAAGCGCATAAAACATATGTCTCTAATTTCTTATTGATAACATGTGCGGGACTTATCGTATTTAAAGTGAGATTATATGATATGTTAAGACAATAGGGATAGAAAGGGAAGGGGAGTGAGAATAGTGTAGTGCAGTGTCACTACATTGCTATGAGTTTGCAGTACAGAATCACATTTGCTATGTTTGTGATGTAATTTTAATTAATAATTAGTAAATAAATTATACCTTTGAAACAAAGAGCCTTTGCTATCAATTTTTAAACTTTAGACTCTCTTATGGGCGCAAAACTGATTGATAGCAAACATAAAGAATATATTCATTGGATTAAATGTCATGTCATTTGAGACATAAAATACAATATAAATTAAAGAGACATTAATTTAAAAAAGTTTCTTTGCATAAAATACTAATTATTTCGATCGTCTAATTCAATACAGAGTTTCAATTAAAATTTCCGACATTTCATTGGCCTAAACGTTAACAAACATTAATTATAGACAAATTAAAAAACTTTTTCATCAACTCTTTTCATTAAAAATCATTTCCTTATCCATAGATTCCTTATTCATTATAATGGCTGAGAAATACATGTTATGGTTGTTGTGATAAGAATTGGTAAAAACATATGTATTCTCAAATGCTTTTCGATGACTTTTTCCTATAATAAGCTATAATACAATCAAATCTTTTTATATTTTGAGAGAAATATATTTTTTAAAAATATGTTATTCTTTTGTTACAAAAACTCAACAAAAATGTTTGCCAACAAAGAAAAGATAAGTTTTATCTGAGACGTGATCCGATTCAATGATATCAAAAACTTTTTGAGATTTTCTATAAATTATATTTCTATGAGATAACAGATAACACGACAAACATATTATGAAATGCATTATAAAGTCATCCAAAACTTTTTTTCAACACATCACACACTCCCGACATTGTTATCAATATTGTCGACACAAAACTTATAATTAAATACATGAGAGCTTTGTTTGAAAATTTTTGAAATTTTCAAAACATTTAATATTTAACGAATCGGCGAACTTTGTTTTTAGTTCACAAAACATTGTTTTCAATTCAATATCACAACTCAATTATTAATTAATTCAATACAAAGCTCTACAACAGCTTTTGATTTAAATATTTAATCAAAAAACAGCGATAAATATTGAATCCAAACTTCAAAGAATCGTATTATAAATTCTGTTTGAATGCATTATAAATAAACTGTTTTGTAATACAATTCTGTGCGATATAATTAGTATATAACTTTGACAACTGATGGTAAATCACCTGAAAGTTAATACTGGTCCGCATAGCCCTATGATTGATGTGTTGAAGTGGTCGGAAGTTGTCTCCGTGTCCATCGCTGTGCATAGTTGTCCTTAACTGATGAAACTGATGGAAAGTCATGTAAATGGGTTTATTCAACACAATCCATGTGACCGTTTCGTGACACGACGGCTGTGTTAGTGATCCCTCGTATGTGATGTAATGCCTCAAAGTCGGCAATAATTCTCTGACACTCAAAGAACTAATCCATTGATTGTCACCTTTAAGAGAGAGAGAGAGAGAGAGAAAACTCAGTGGAAAAAGCATTCAATTATGAGACAAAATAACTGATAGCCGTATATATACCTTTCCGAGAGAGAGAGAGAGAGAGAGAGAGTTAAAGAGAAATGAGAAAGTAATTACAGCTAATGAATCACTATTTCATTATTATTTGCCAACTATTGCTTTCGTCCCGTATTTACGTTTCCATTAATGTTAGTCAATAAAAGACAGTTAGCGTTACAATTATGACTTATATATACGGCTATCAGTTATTTTGTCTCATAATTGAATGCTTTTTCCACTGAGTTTTCATTAGAAAAGCTCAAATTGATTGCCAGCGAAAGCAACACAAGTTTCAGCATTAAATTGAGCTCAAAGTTAAGGATTATAACAATAAGACTAACACTTTATTTATTTTGCTAATTATTAATAATTCAGAAAATCTAAAATCATTTTTAATAACTTATTTATCTAAATCATAATTTTCAAAAGTTAAGTATTAAAATGAAAAATTGTATTTGAATATTGTATTTAAAAGTTTAGTTTTTAAATAAAATTCTTGCATATTGTAGTAAAAGTTATTTTACAAATCTAAAATATGCTTAAATAAATATTGCTTAAAATATCAACTTATTATCTCAATTTGCAAATTAAGTGCAATTAATAAGTGATCAATAAACTCACTACAAATTGCGTGACTTGTAAACTGATTGCGTGATTTTCATAGTAACTAAATTATGTTTGCAAAAAGTTTTCAAATAAAACATAAAACGATTTATTGTCAAAACAATGATCTTGTGTTTAAAAGTTAAGACTTATTGTGATTAAAGACAATGTTTGGGTTAATCACAAGAATAATTAAATTAATGTCTCTTATGTATAATAATTGCATATTTTGTGCTTAAATATTACAAATTTCACTATTATTTCAGTCATAAAAACTTTTCTTATCACTAATGAAGTCAAAAGTTTTAAATATCTATTGATTCAAACATTATTTACACTTATAATTAAGATATTATTTCTTGAAAAGTACTCATAATCATATGCAATTAAACATAAGATATTCATAACAACTTAATTACGGTAAGACTGTATTAGTTTTGATTAAACAAAGCCCTTAAACGATAACAAAGAATCCAAACATTAAAACAAAACAGTATTTTAATGAAAACACACACTTCGAGGAGAAGACTATTAAAGAGCGAAAAAAATGCATTTTTCGCATAAAGATATGAAATGCAAAACATTAAGCAATAAGTGGTGTATGTATTGTATGCGTAAGAAATGGATACCTTTGGCGGTGATATTCTTGAGTGTATGTGTGATGTGTTTGAGCTGTGCGTTACCGCCGATCGATTGCTGTGTGTGAGCGATGAGCACAGCGATGGCCAGCACGCCGTTGGCCTCGCCCTGAGCTGACGTCCAATTGGCGTATAATTGCGAGTTAAAGGCATACAATTGGATTTCGGCAGGAAATTGGTGGCCACTAATGGTGTGTTCAGAGCCCCTGTCGTTCTCACGTCCGTAATGCAAAACCATCTCTTTAAGTGTGTACTGATAGGAAAGCGGTCCACCGCTTATGATAACCGTACGGTTGGCACTCACTTTGAATAGTATACCCCGACCAGAGTTTTGCAGATTCCCGTTTACCTACAAATTATAGTTATCTCTTTAAGTGTGTACTGATAGGAAAGCGGTCCACCGCTTATGATAACCGTACGGTTGGCACTCACTTTGAATAGTATACCCCGACCAGAGTTTTGCAGATTCCCGTTTACCTACAAATTATAGTTACATTTAGTTTTTATTTTATGGTATTTTAGTGTTAAAATTAATTGTTTTTTTGTCCTAAAGTGATTGTCAATCGGCTATTTCTATGCAGTAATTCAAAACTTGTGACAATATTTGTGAGATTTCGTGTACAGTTTGCATGTATTGCACAAAAACCTGATTTACGTGAAGGCATATGAAAGACACGATTCTTTGTCTATTTGTAATATTAAATTAAAATAAAATATTTATATCTATTTAAATATGCATTTAATTTTGAATATAAAATAGTTCTCCTAATATTCAACAACATTTATGACTGTGTAATGCGATTATAAGCAAAATAAATGAAATCTAATATTAAATATTTGATTTATAAAATAAGTTTAACCCCAAAGTGTCAAAACATAAATATGTTGAACGAAATGAAAATGAATACAAAGTTGCCTAAAAATTTTGCTAATATTTTTATCACGTTTTCAATACTATAAATGAAAAGAAATAGAGAAATATATTTTAGAGCCAAAAGAATATATATTTATTTCACAAAAATTTATTACTTTTTCTTGAGAATCGTATGGATTTATACATTTTGTTTTTATGACAATACATAACACAAAACATTAGTTTCTCATTTGTATTCAAAATATAGTGTTTAATATCAAACCGTATGACAAAATAAATATCCATAAAACTACCATAACGTGTGTGTATGTGAGCGAGAATTGTATACTATATCGTATACATAGTGTTTAATTCATTATATTTCTAGTTATTATTATTATTAAAGTAGAAATACTTTATGACAACACATATTCTTTATGCAATTCTGTATATCATATCCATTATCAACGATATGTTGTCACAAATAATTGAATGCATTTGACGTTTACATTTGAAACGTCTGTCTAATATATAACTGATGAACAAAAGCCTCTCTTTTTCCGTACGGTTTGGCTCACAATTCAATTGCGATTTGAATTTTTTAATTTGAAAAAAGTTTTCACTATATTTTCACTCATATTTCATATGCTGTGTACAAACACATGATAAAAATCTGCCCTCTGTTTGTATGGTATGCGCGCAAATAATAAGCTTATGATAACAATTACTGTATCACTGCTTTAATTACCCAAAAAATTTTTGTTTAAACTTTTTCGTGTGTAATAAATAGATATACATAACAGTAATTATCTGTTGAAATCTAGTCGTGACATTAGTTATAAATTTTTCCCCTTTCTATTTGAATAAATGAATGCAATGGTAGGCAAAGGCTTTCACTCAATGTATGGTAGAAACCAATAGTAGAGTCAAAATCAGTGCTTAATTAGTGTATAGAGAGTAATATATTGAGAGAATATAATAGAAGGAAAATAAAGAAATATTAAGCATTACTCACATAATCGCCGTATACTTGAATGGGATTGAGATTGGGATCAAATAGTAATAATTTAGGATTGATATCAATGGGAGACTGGCGTCGACCGCGACTGCATAGACTCCACTTAGGGTTAAGACGTCCCCAGAAATCTGGACCTAAAGTTATGTGAAAAATGTGAGAAATGTTTATTAGAAAATTCCTTTGCATTCATATAATGCACAGAAAACAAGAAATAAGGATTCATTCAGGAATTGTGGTGAGGATTATATGCATAATAATCGTCATATTTGGCAAACAATTGGTGGCAAAAGTTTATATACTTTACAGAGTAATGACTATAAATTGAAGCCATTATTGAATTTAATATAATTGCGAAGAAGGAGAAGACAATAAAGTAAAGCTGTGGACCTCTAAACACAAGAAGATAGAAAGAGACAACTTTTTGGGTAATAATAAAGTTTTTTGGGCTCAACTCTTAACTCAAAGCCCGCACTCACTTAATGCATATAAATTGAGTTCTCTTTTATCCAAACATTTATTGAGTGAATGTAAAGAAAATGAGAGAATGAGAGAGAGAGAGAGAGAGAGAGAGAGAGAGAAGTGCCGGTAATTATAGCGGATCTCCTGTGCATTATATTTAGCTGATGTGTGACAACGATTTGCAGTGAGCGGTGGTCTCCGCTATTCTTCATTATTTATAACAAGAATGTTATAATCATAAGAGAGAGAGAGAGAGAGAGAGAGAGAGAGAGAGAGAGAGAGGCTATCATCAAAATTTATGAATACATATTTAATTTGTTTTTTGAAAATGCAAAATAGCTTTAAACAAAATATTTATTAATTAAATTATAAACTAAGTAAATGATTGAAATGAATAAATAAATAGTTTACTCTATTAATACATGTATAGGTATTAATAATGACAAATACTAATATATATTGAATTGATAGCTACTAAGAGTCGAGAGAGAGAGAGAGAGACTATGAAAGACAATAACAAACTATTATTACGGTTAGTCTTATTCGGTAATTCATTGAATAAATGGACACAAATTCAAGCCTTAAGGCATTAAATACGATCATTCAGTGTTTAAACGTTTACGACTTAGGGTCTCAGGTGTTAGCATTTGGTCACCATTTGTTGTGTTGACAAATACTATGTATGAGTCCATCAATTGTTGTGTCCAAGAATTGGACTGAAATACGAGACCTATAGTTATAAACATTTTTCACTAATACTATTACTTAATACTAACGTTTGCTATATTGGCGCCCATTAATCACACGTATGGCTACGACCTGTCATTTTTCTAAACGGACGGACAAACAGACAAATTGCAAAAACACTCACGACGTGCCAACACATCCAACATTACCACAAACCATATGACAGACAACCAGAATAGCGGAGACCACCGCTCACTACAAATCGTTGTCACACATCAGCTAAATATAATGCACAGGAGATCCGCTATAATTACCGGCACTTCTCTCTCTCTCTCTCTCTCTCTCTCTCTCTCTCGACTCTTAGTAGCTATCAATTCAATATATATTAGTATTTGTCATTATTAATACCTATACATGTATTAATAGAGTAAACTATTTATTTATTCATTTCAATCATTTACTTAGTTTACAATTTAATTAATAAATATTTTGTTTAAAGCTATTTTGCATTTTCAAAAAACAAATTAAATATGTATTCATAAATTTTGATGATAGCTTCTCTCCCTTTCTCTCTCCAACTCTGTTATGATTATAACATTCTTGTTATAAATAATGAAAAATTGCTTAAATATTCCAATGATATTATAATTTTATGTATCGCTTGTATATAAAGTAAATTTTTAACAAATTGTTTGTAAAACTATTTGCAAACTCAGGCACAAGAATTTAAATCATTGAAACCGTGTGCAGTGCTATAACTTATAAGACTACCGAGTGTTTTGTTTTTATAGTACAATTCTTTGCAAATGTGTAGTGTTTTTGAATAAATTGTTACAAATATAGCAAAACTCATCTCTTTTTTAGTAGAGATATATAATATTCAAACGAATAAACATATGGGATATGAAGAGTGTCTCACAAGTCATCAAACGACACGATTTGTGTGCATTTTATCACATCTTTCTCTGCGTTCAAGTATTTGGAAAATATTGCAAAAATAATAATGTATTCATTTCGGTCTAAAATCCATAGAAATTTAAGGCATACATTGTTTAAGCCATAAATGATTGACTGTTTTTAATAAATTTGGTAAAAATAGTTTTGAAAAGTTTGCAGAAATATTTGGATTATTTGCTGAAATACTAAATACTGTGCTTTTCTTTCTAGCGATACATGAGATGAATATCATAAACATTTTCATACGTAAAGTCATTCATCATTTGAATGAAATATCAATTCTGTTTTGTTATATCCGTTAAAATACATATCACTAAAAACGTAAGAAAAATAAAACCAAACAAACGAGTAAAATATCAAAAATATTTTATTCAATTGAAAAGTGTTGAAACAGAGAGATTGAATGAGAGAGAGAGAGATCTCTGGCAAAACGTGAAGAAGAAGTAATAACATCGCAAAACACAAACTCCGAAAAGAGAGTGAACACAACGACTACTACTACTCCTCGACAACACATTT